AAAAAAAAAAAACTAGAATGTTTGAGGTTCTTTAGGTTAGGAAAAAGGTGATTGGGGGGCTGCATGATCAAGTTATACATGTACATGGTATGGAGAAAATCAACAGAGAGAATTTTTTCTCTCCCTATCCAAACACTGGGACCACAAGTCATCCATTAACATCAGACATGGTAATTGCTACTAAATTGAATACCTATACAAGGAAACTGAATAAACTCATGGGTGATAGGTCTGTCAAGGGTATTAGCCTTGAAAACTCAGTGTTATCCTTGGGTTGGGAACAACTTGACTCCAAATGCCAGTTGCAGGGAACAAGGGTGGGAGAAGGTACATCTCCAATTCCTGCTTATGATCACTCCTAGTTAGCCATTGTGAAAAACAAATGCTTGGCTTAGATGGGCCTTGGCTCAATCCAGCAGGATTATTTTTATGTTAGGTGGGCTACCAAAAAAAGCAGTAAAATGGCAGTAGCAATTCACAAATGAATTTGACAAAGAAAGTGAAAATGACGCAAAACAAAAAACACACGTTGTTGAAATATATTTGAAGAAGCAAGAACTTTAAAAGAAGGTATATTTACTTCTTTTTCCAAATTGTTTTTCTCGGAGAAATGCTTTTGGTATCGTTGCACATCATATGTGTAAGTAAAATGAGCTCTTCCTACAAAGGTTACGAATTGAAACCTCCTTTTGACTCTCCCAAGACAAATGTTACCTGCATAAGTTGCTGCTTCAGCTTCTGCATTTCAGAGATGTTCAGCTCACTGAAGAGATCAGAGACCGGGTGCAAAGATTCTCCTTTCCTAACGGTGGGGGTCCGAAAGTCACCATTCAGTTTCATGTGAGGTCCATGAATGTGTCCGTTCATTTTGTCATCGTTATTAGGTTCATTCCCATCTTCCCCAAACTTTAATCCATCTACTGAGATATTAATATGATTATTATACATGCTATCATTTAAATTGATATACTGGGACAGTTCCTTCCTTAGATTGTTCTTTTGCTCCCTTTCATTCTTTAATGTCTCCAGGGCCTCCTCTAGCTGATGCTCCGCAATCTCCTTTAACCGGATGGCGTCTTCTAGCTGGCTATTAAGCAACACAGTCTCTTCCTCAAACCGTTTTATCTCATGTTTCAAGCCTTCATATTCAACCTGAATTAAATAAGATAAAGAAGATTCATAATACTAAAAGTTGGATTTACACACAATCTGCCGTTTGCTGCATCTCTTCAGATAAATGTCTAAAGATGAGACATTGTACAATGGGCGAGAAAAGGAGCCAGATATTACAAGTTGAATAAAACTAGCTCCAGGGAGAATCCTGAAGTCATGGTAATTCTATCGCTATATTTTATCTCCAGTAACATATGGTAATTCTATCGCTAAATTTTATCTGCACTAATAAGGCATAAGTTGTGAAAACAACTGAGATGTCTACCTTTCCCCATCACCAAAATAAACATCATCTGGCACATTTCATGATGTACACTTCTCAGTAAAGTGAACTGATTTTTAAGTGTACCCATTACATGGGCCATAATATTCAAAAGGGAGGAATGTAAAATACAAATGGTTCAAGTGCTTCTAATTGTTCTGTTCAGGCCGAAGCTTAATGACATATTTTTCAAGGTACTATATACATACATACTCCTTATATAAGCATTTACAGACAGAAGAGTATATTCAGGGAGTGTGCCTGTAAAAAGCACTTGCTGAGAGCTAATCCCTTTTCTGGTGTAAGGACAAACTCCCGCTCCTCTTCCTTGTTTGTTGCCTTGCGTTTTGACTTCTGCCTGATGTTGACTTTGCCTCTTTATAGCAAAACAGCTCAGCAAGCCAACCCTTGCTTTTCTATGCTCTATGTTTGATAGACTGATTATGTGCCATCAAGTTGTTGTCAATTCTTAGTGACCACGTAGATAGATTTTCTCCATATAATATCTTTATTCATTACATTCTATTCCCTATATGTATCCTTTTATTGTCCCAAAAGGAAGAAGAGGGAAGATAAAACAGCTGAAGAATGCAGATATAACAGTCAATTAGCACTATTCAGAGCTGATAACAAAAACAAACTGAAGGAAACATTTGCCTATCATGAATTTGCATGGCTAGTAACAAATAAACAAAAGCAGTTATTGCTTTTTTTCCATGAAAAAGGAACCAAATACATCAAAGAGAAGAAAACAAACAAGGCTGGAACAAAATGTGAGAATACAAGCAGTGAGAATTAGCAGGGATACCGTAATTGAGATTCACCTCCATTTCATCTGGACAGAAAGCACTTTTTGAATTTCCCAAAGCCCTTTGGTCTACCTTGTGGAAAACAAGAAGGTCGTTGTTGTTCTCTTCTTCTTCCTTCCTTTTTAGGAAGTAAATTGTGTACATATATATGGGTAGGCAGATGTGCTTGTTGTATATGTTCTACTAAAATATTTCAAACTGGTCTGGCATGCTCTTGGCTTCTTAAATAGGGTGGCCACTGGGCATGTTCAGACACCACATAAAAGCTCTTTAAAAGTTACCAAAACAAAAATTGGCTTGATAGTCAAATCCTCACTTACTTCTCTATCCAGAATCCTGAGCTTTGCTGAAGCCAAGAAGAGACAGAGACATTTATTTTGATTTAGGAATCCCCATTTAGTGAATTTGGGATGGAACAGACAAAATTTCCATTCTTAAATAGTGAACATGTCCAGTGGATTCAAAGTCTGGGCAAGGGGCTTAAAAAATATCAAAAGAAGTTAAATTTACTTTATTCATGTCAATTCACATCATTTGCAAAATGGCATAATTATGCAAATGACACAAATTATGTATTTACATATATAAAATGACATAAACTAATGTCAATTATGCAATTTGCCTCATTTGCATAAAGACACAATTGCACAAATGGCATAATTCTGTATTTAATGGGCATTTGGGAACAATGAACACTCTCTCCTCTCAACTGGCCCTAAAATCAAGGTTTCACTGCACTAACAACAAATTATATTAGATATTATTATATTATATACTAACTAATTGTTCTGAGTGCTTCAATCCACATCACAGAACCTAATTTTGCTATACCGCAATGCAACGGACTTCACATGCAGTAGATCAAAGTTCTGCTATAATTTGCACCATTGTTATTTGCAAGATGGAATCATCAATCAAATGATGTAATTCCCTCTGATGCAATTGACTTTTCTCAATAACAGTCACCCCCTCTAACCAATTCATGCATTACAACAAAGCTGGTCTTGATGCCTTTAGTTCCTTCTTTTCTATTTTGAGGTGGCTATTTTTATTTTAAGATACTTTAAACATTGCTTTCCTATTTATCTGAGTTAAAAACTCATCTAACTGTACCTAAGCAGTCGGGGAATACTTTTACTCAATGTATATACCTGATGAGCTTGCCAATCCCACGTAATATCCAGCAACATTGGTTTTGTAGTAAGATCCCTTTAGAATTAAGCTTAGTAAGGTTCAATGTACTGTCTCCATCAATTACTAGTGATCACTGTTTTACAAACCTGTTTTATCCTTATTATGTATGATTTTTAAGTATCAATGAAGCAACTGAAATGCCAGAATTTTTCCTGAAACAGCATTTCCTGCTGTTTGTAGGCAGCGTCTTATGATGAAATACATACTGTATCTGAGAATTTAGCATTACTACTTTTTAAATCTTCTACTGAAAATTCAATCTCTCTTCACCTGATTCTGCTTTAATGTGGAAACCAGCTTTTGCAACGTAATATTTTCTTCTTCAAGTTCAGTATAGTCCTGAAGAAGCCGTGCCTCAGCGTCTTATGATGAAATACATACTGTATCTGAGAATTTAGCATTACTACTTTTTAAATCTTCTACTGAAAATTCAATCTCTCTTCACCTGATTCTGCTTTAATGTGGAAACCAGCTTTTGCAACGTAATATTTTCTTCTTCAAGTTCAGTATAGTCCTGAAGAAGCCGTGCCTCTCTAAATTTATATTCTCTAATTTCATCTTTCATCCGAATTCTCTGCAGCTCTGCCATTTCATTGTTCTGAAAAACAGAAAATAATTCAACGTATTATTTTTTCATTTCCATTCAGCCTGTATTAATCAAAGAAACAAACAAACGAAAAGGACACAGTCAAAATCAGTTTCAAATATACATCAAAACACCATTTCCATTCCAACTATTTATTATACCACTGGATTAAATCAATACATGTGGGAGGGAGAAAAACTGCCTTAAGTTTAATGAATAATTTTTACCTTTCCGTTACAATTTGGTAACAAATTTTAGAGGGTTTTTGTGTGCCTTTGAGTCAATCCTGGACAAGTCCCTAAAGTTTTCTTGGAAAGTTTTTTGGAAGTGGTTTGCCCTTGCCTCCTTCCTAAGGCTGAGAGAGAGCGACTGGCCCAAGGTCACCCAGCTGCCTTTGTGCCTAAGGTGGGATTAAAAGTCACAGTCTCCAGGTTTCTAGCCTGGTGCTTTCACCACTACACCAAACTGGCAAAGATATTGTAGCCCCAGGATCCCACCTTGAATTCCTCTGCAGTACAAGGTGATAGTGCTATAGCCTTTGGCAGGCTATTATGTTATACCCATATGTTCCAATAAATAATATTGTCCTATCATTCAATGTTGTTATAAGCAGTGCTATTTCAATTACACAAAATATGTTCTATAAATTGAATGATTATTAATTGGCTTACATTCTATTTAAAAATACATTGTACTTTTTCCTCCCTATCAGAGAACTTTGCTTGTTGGGTATCCTGGGAACCCATAAGCAAAGGAAAGGGCAACTGGGTTCATCTTCAGTGGGAATATCATGACTACTGGCCCCCTCTAGGTGTGAAAGAAAAATACTTCAATTCAACTCCGTTTAAATAACTTAGCTTATTAGCCAGCAATTGTTCCCAGGAGCCAAGTGCACACAGACTCTCCCTCTGGATAGTCTCAGAAGAGGAACGCAAAGACACAAACTTTTATGCATACTGAGGCAGGAAATTGCAGTTGGCAGAGACAGCAAAAGTTCATGAACTCAGCAATTCAGCAAGACGTCTTTTTATGTGATTGTGAAACAGTTGCCTTTCTCCTCCATTTTCCTTTCCTTGTATGCCTAGTCCAAGCCTGCACAACAGCGTTTTTTTTTTTTGAAAACTCAGCAAATATAATTTGCACCTTTTTTGGAAATGAACCATAGGAAGATATTCTCAAGATGACTACTGTAAAATGCACTAATGAATGAATCGGTAAGATTGGTCCCTTTGATGTACCGTATTT